ATGCAAACTCCAATCGTCCACGCGAATAAAAGTACATTATGGCCAACAAAATGGCATGTGATTAAGCGCCAAACTTCAATCGAAAACAGTTGAAAAGGTAATAGCGCCAAGGCGTCATATGCAACCGCGAATGGAGAGAGCACGAAACCTGGAAACCAACCCACAGTTATTTATGGTGTTTTCACCCTCATCCAACAGCAATATATAGGGTTATCTCATAAGTGGAGTCGTTTTTATTCAAATAAGTTTTTCTCACAAAAAGTTCACGTTTTGACGTCAACCGTATATCACTCAAAAACCGGGGGAATCTATCGCTCTACAATAATAGTATGTTTAGTATCTGCGTTTGATGCGAATAGGTTGAATTTCAGGCCTGCGAAATGGAAGTCCCAACCGCCGAACATTTGCCATACCGGCAACTGACCCCAACACGTAAAAAAAATGTAGAATCTGAACACACTATCTTAAAAAAACAGATGTGATCTATCGAGCGACAAACGAATTGACGCGAATACATGAAATCTCAGTAAGAAATTTCCCGTTTTAAGGAAAACGATCACTTCTAGGACAACATGATAACATTACACATAGAAGAGGGACAAGCATTGAGATAAATTTAAATCTCACCCAATGTTCTTATTGCAAGCAGAACTCGAAACGGTAAGGCATTATTTCGTAGAACGTCTGAATGCCGATCTACAACAATTTGTAGATCGCCGAGGACCGTCTTCATCCACCTGAACACGAATGTATCACGGACAGCATTACTGCTGTGTATAGAAAAATGGTAGCCACAATTTTGTAGGGCGAGACATTTGGTCCTTAAATGCTCAAGGAGAGTGTTTTGAAAAGCTCTGTGAGAACTAAATTCTCTAGGCTGGCTTCCAACACAATAAATTCAACAACAACGCTCGGCAGAAAGGTGGGCTTTTTAAATCGGAAACGAGAAGCCCTCAAATTGACTTCAGACCTGGGAACAGTTCAGCATTTTACAAGAAAAATGCATCCTATGTTTAAGGCACATGTTAGATACCCGGACTGTGAAGTGAAAAAACCGGTGAAGCATGGGTGTGAAGCGAAACCCGCGATTACGATACTTTGCTCTGATAAAAAAAAATGAATATGAAGGAGTAAATGAAAGTAAGATGCAATTGTAGCAGTGCATAGGATATTTCAGCTCGAGATCTTATTCAGTTTCTAGCGATAGCAATCCAGATCAAGATTCGCTGCAGCTGGCTGGTTCCGCTCCCGATTATAAACCTGCTTCTGGGACGAGAGGATGAAGACAAGCTAACACAAAAAGCTGCAATTCGATGAACAAAACAGATCAATATGATGAAACTAACATCTTGTTAGCCATAGTAAATATGTATAATTTGAGAAACGCAGCTAATGCGATGGCGAATGGAGCTAGTTGTCATGCTCACAGTCCAGGAAATAAATCCCATATCGAATACCATCCAAGGTAACCAAGCATTCCACCTCCTAGAGGTCATTAAAAGGTGTCAGCATAATCTGGCAGAATACAAATATTTGCGCCCTTTTTCCAGCTCAGATACAAGAGCTAGCTCTCCAATACTAACATGTTAGCGCGATTATATTACCAACACAATGAGCAAATGGTTCAAATGACGGTTCCTTAATGGACAAATTTTCAACTGTTATACTTGTTCCGACCACTAAGTAGCGCATTCAGAATTGAAGAAAAGAATCCATTTTGAAAAGGATAGCTCGTGATCGAGAAACGAATGGTATAGGTACAACACAATAATTATAAATTTAACCTCAAGAACGAGATCACGTTATGAAGGAATACAAAAATGCAAAAGTAAAGCAACCTCAACTACTGTGCACAACTCTCGACAAACGTTACACATGTCCCATATATCCACAACAATGATAACCTAGTAAACAGAGCTAATAAACCTGAATCTGCCTGAAAACGTCGATGATCAAGTTATTTAGAACAGTCACCAAATTTATGTACAAATGAGCAGTAAACCATAAAATGCATAGAAGGATGAAACACAACTTGGACTAAAAATCAATATGATATCGATAAACAAGTTTTAATGGCTCATCCTTGAGCTTATTTCGACATCTTGTCAAGTGAATAAACCGCATCGAGAAGTCGCGACCCATTAATTCGTCGTTACAAAACAGATCCAGCTCGCTGTAGCGGGACATGTTCGACCACATAGATTGGGCCAAGTACCTGCAATAATTCCTATCCGCATTATCCTATTCCATGGTAGAAAGTAATTGGAAACCTTATAAATTGGTAAAGATCCGTTAGTTTGGACAACTCCTATGTTAAAAACAACACCTACCTCTTGAGGGTGTTTACCGTCGCCATACCACTTAACCGCACAATTGGGCGGGTTGGCTTCGGTAGGTCGGGGGCACCAGGAATCAATGAAACAATCATCTGAAAAGCAATAGTGTCAGCCGCATATCTGACCTTTAGATCCAGCAAATGTAGCCAAATAAGTTCATAATTGAGCGAGAATTCTTCAACTAATCTACTTGCCAGTACTTTCCTTCCCTCCATCCATTAAAAATTTATTTGAAAACATGACTCTAAGATCACCAATAAGTTCGATTGAAATGAAACGCTTACATGTTCGTCATTCCTGTGATGTGAAATTCCTGGCTCTCCTTCGAAACACCTATTGGTACCTTGTGATGATTCGTCCTGCTCAAAAGAAAAGTTTTTCGACCCACAGAAAATAATTTTAGAAATATCCAAAATGGATGTTGTTCACCTTCTTCTCAGCTTCCTCCTCTTCTTCATCAACCTGCTCACCAGCCATCGTTTCTTATCTTTGAGGAAATCGAGTCGCCTTTTGCGCTCAGATTCCAGCAAACCTTAAAATACATGCTCTCAAATGTGAAAAAGGAAGAGAGGTTCTTCAAGCATGCTCATCCCTTCGGAGTGCCTCAACAACTTATGGAGGCAATTACGCTGAAGGCAACATTGATAAACAACTACGCTACAAATTTGTGGACTAAACCCGACGACACAAGCCTACCGACGAGACTCCCCTAACAAAAGGGAACTCCTCTTTGGCAGAAAAAAAATGCTATAAAGAGAGAAAATCCCGGTTTCGTTCAAAATTCGAACATGGAAGAAAAAATATCGTCCCAACGTCCCAAATATAAGTATGGATTTTCAGGAAACAACTCGATTCTATCCTTGTATGGAAGTTAAAGCAAAGACAACAATCAATAACTCACCGGGAACTAATTTATATACAATATCCTGCATAGTGCGATCGAAAGCCACATAGTGGCTAGGGTGCGACTGGTGAATCAGCTGCTCACAGCTTGGGCAGCAATTGTCCTCTTCTTCAAAATAGGTCAGCAGACAACTTTTACAGAACGTGTGTAAACAATCGATAACAGTAATGGCGTCTATCAAATAGCCCTGAAAGTGCACTCATTCCGCCGAGTCTAATCAAAAAAATACAAATCAGAACAAAAGGCAAACCTTGCACAGGTTACACGTTAGATGAGCATTGATTTTCTTGAGCTGGAGAGAATATGACTCCTTCAGCTCTCTAGTTTCACCGTCACCATCTTCCTTCTTTGAGACCTAAACGGCCGTTGAAAAAGTACAACAATCCGAAGATTTGTGAAGAAGAAATCAGAAAAGAGCTCACCTTGGCTTTCACTTCATGACCCGACCTGCCCGCTCGTTTTCTCTTATGGCTACCCTCAACTTTCTTCTCGTCCTTATCCTTGTCCTTTTTCTTGGTCATTATGCATCGAATACTAGCCCTGATGCTTAAAGTTGCGAAACTATAAAGAACGAAGAATAAATATCAAATATGATAAAAGCATACAATCAAAACAGATGTAACTTGCGAAAGCTAGGATGCAAACCTATCAGAGTAGAAGAACATTTTCTTTATGCTTAGATTTATTTGCAGCTTCAAACAACAATGACAATATAGGTTCAATCTCGAATGAAAAATAATGATAATACCCGCTTGATCAGCAAACGAGACCGCAATATCAAATGTTATCCTAGAACCAGTCTCATACAATCGCTTTGAGATGTTGGACACGAAGGGAAGTTAGCCATGCGCATAGAACAATTCAGTTTAAAAATTAGCCTGTCCTTGGATTCAAACTCGGCTGTCCAAGGTATGCTCCGGGTAAATACCTGAAATTGCCACTCCTAGAAATATGCATTGATAACCTGCTCTGAAAAGTTGTTGAAGTTCGTTAAGCAAAAGTTAAACGGGCTAAGTTACTCGCCTGCCCTCTCGTTCATCTTTTTCTCGCTGCTCTTGAGCCAAGTGAGCAGTATTCGACAGGAATGCTAACGCACCCTTATGACAACGATTCGCGTAGTGACCTTTTTCACCGCACTAAATTCAGTTTTACTTGACTGAACACAAAAGCAAACAAAAAGTATAACTGGTAAAAAGACAAATTTCTGCAGTCATACTAAATGATTTCCACAAGTAAAAATTAACCAGTAAAGATAAGGAAAACAAAAAAGAAACCGCAGTCGGAACCAACGATTTCCAACCTTGTAACAGGTGACTTCCGACAAGCTCTTCTTATCCGGAAACAACGACAGATCAACTGGTTGAACTGTGGTCACCGTACGATTCGTGATAGGATTCGACTCGGACGTCTGGAATGCACCAAAACGCTAAATAGAGGAAAGAATTAGAGAAATGGCCTTCGATTGATGGAGGGTAAACCATTGACGCATGTCTCAACAATTACAAAACATACCTTTCCCTGTTGGTTTGGCAAATGTGGACAATGCGTAGCCTTATGACCACGTTCATGGCAATTATGACAAATGATTTGGTGGTTGAATAGCCGCTTGTTATTCGAAGCGCAGTTCTCCGGAGCGGGCAGTGCGAACGATGGATGGGTAAACTTGCATTCTTTCCCTGAAATAATACATTTTGTAGAATGAAGACTTTCTGAACGGAGACTTTCAAAACAAATCCGACAGACGTAAAAGCATAGATGATTAAAATGAAGTTTAATATGGAATCAAGGTAATCTTAGACTGATGAGTATTGCGGTAGATTAAAATTAACGGGAATAGGAAAGTTAAAATGGATGATAGTGAAAATAAATAGAATCGAAGTACCTTACCGTCCGGACAAAAACCGGCAACATAGTTGGGACATATAACTCGTCGACGATGGCGGTGCTTGCAATATGGGCCTAAATGAGGCAGTGTTATGCTCCTACTAATGCAAGCATTAAAATGTTTCTCTCGCTTTGTCGTGGAAATTGTAGTTAACCCAAAAGAATCCGTTCTATTTTATCGCAAAAAAGTCATACCGTGTCGACAGAACCCTCTGTCGTACCATGGGCAATCCTT